CCCCTGGGGCTCCCCACTTGATACCGGCTGCCAACCGGACATTGAGCCATTGATGACTACCCTTTGAGCCGGGCGACCCAGCCGGTTTTCTGTCCGCCTTACAGTCCATTCATCCAATCTGCGCTTCCTTCATCCCAAACTACTGGAGCCTGCTGGGTGACGCACCTGAGCAGAAACCCTCCCCAGGAGATGGATGTAGAAGGCTCCTGCTATCAGCCCTCCGCAGCCTAAAGCCTGCAGGTGAAAGACTAAGGGGGCTCCATGCCAGGGAAAGCTGTCCCCTGGGCTCGGATGGAAGAAAGGGGCTGCCTGTTGGGATGCTCCCTGCAGCGGATCCGGTTGGTAGTAAACAAACCAGAGTGGCTGTAACTGGATCCTCCCGCCCGGCAGGGTGGTAGCAGGGAGGCCTCCTGTGGGAGGGTAGAATTACAGGCAAGAGGAGCGGCTACTGAAAGGGCTGCCAGGCAAATAAAAGGGAACAGCCCAAACCAGGCTGGTGGCGCTGGCGGACCCCCTCCTCCCATCCGCACACCCGGTATAACGCGCTCAGAAGGCAGATTGGGCCTGCGGCATCCTCCTTGCAGATGCGGGTGATCTGGCCAAAGCATCTGGGGTTTCACTTCTTGTGCAGCACGGAGAGGGGAAACTGAGGCACGGGTTGGCCGCCTTGCTAAGAGGTTAGACCACGGGTTTGCCTGGGGTGGTTTGGATAAGGATGATCCTGCCTCAAGCAGGGAGGTGGACTAGATGTGACCTCCGGAGATCCCTTCCAGCCCCACTTCTCTGTGAGTCTATGAGGATTCCCATGCCGATGCCCTCCCCTAGGAAGGGATCGGATTTGGGAGGGCTTGGCAGGCAGAGCTCCCCGAGGCTGCGTCCACAAGGACGGCGATTCCAGCAGGGGCCGGTGCCCCTTCCTGTGCCCGACGACATCTTGGTGAGTCTGATGTCACCTATACGATGGCAATATACCCACCAAAAAGCAAAGCAATGTGGCATCCCCCAGGGGACCAGAGAGCGATCACAGGGGTGCTGGAGCTGCCCTCCGTCTCCCCTGCAGCCCTGGCTGCACTGGGATTTGCTAGCGTCGTTGCCCCCTTGTGCTGGGCACTGCCCAGATGCCCGGGAAAAGGCGGTGCCTTCCCCAAAAAACACAGACAAGGCGGGACTGGTGTTGCTGTATTACAGAGCCCAGAAACTCCCCACGAGCCCCTGCTGTCTCTGCAGTATCGCACGGCAGCCTGGGGACCCACTGCCTTCCAGCCAGCACCGAATCCCTGTCGTCCCTGGCACCCGATGACCTCTTTATGCCACTGCCGGAGGCTTTTCCACCTTCCTGTAATGGCCTGGGCTCAGAGCAGCCCTGCCAGTGCCCTGGGCTGGAGAGTGCAGCCCGGTGAGCTCTCCGGTGGCTGCAGAGGGCCTTAATGGCATTGCACAGACCTGTTCCCTGCTCACTCTGTGCAGCAGGATGAGGGCCAGGCTCCAGGGTTGCACAATGGCTCCTGCATGCTGGGGTCAAAGCAACGCACTGAGTGGCAGGGGCTGAGGTTTCAACCCGTGCCTCAGTTTCCCTTCCCCGTCGCATGCAAGAGAAGGGAGCCCAGGCTTTGTCAGCGGGGGCTGAGAGGGGGAAAGGTGCAGGATCGGGGCCTATCCTCATCATCTCCAGTCTGTTCTCCACGTGCAGCCCCGGGGTCCTGGTTTGGTGGGGACCGGGTGCCACCTAGCGGAGAGAGGGGCAAAGACTGCATGGGGACCCTAGCATGGGAGCACTCTGAGCACCCAGGCCGGGACCCAGGGGGGCAGAGCTGGCAGCCCGGCTTGGCCTGAGGCTTAAAAGGGGGAGCCGGGAGCCGGCTTGTCCAGAGGGGCCTTGGAGCAGTTTTAGCCTGGAAGAGGCAGAGCGGCTGGGGCAGCTGATGGGGACTCCCAGGGCGCCTGGTTTTTCCCTAGCTGCAAGCAGCACGTCCGAGCAGTCAGCAGCCAGGCCGATCCAGGGCTGCTGGGCTCCAGTCCCTGCTCCGATGGAGAGTGGGGTTCAGCGGCTAAAGCAGAGGGGCTGGGAATCACCGGTGGATGCAGACGCTTCTGTGCCCCCCTCCAGCGCCAAAGCTGCAGCCAGTATGGACTCACCCTCGCTACCAGCCCTCGGCTTAGCCTGAAAGTCCCCCATCCACAGCAGTACCACGGAGAGTCCACGGTCCACCTCTCGGCGCCCCGGAGCCAGGCCTTCCCTTGCTCCCACCCGCGTGGTCAAACTGCCCTCCAGATGTGAGAGCCAGGACCTTGCCTGAGCTCCTGGAAATCACCAAACCAAACAAAGCGCCGGAGCAATGAGACGTGCACAGCTCCCTTGGCGGCGGGCGGCTGGGAAAGGAGGGACAGAAACGAGGCTGGCTCCAGCCCCCAGCCCAGCCGCTGCCAACCTTCACGATCCAAGGGCAAGGCCCCCTTGGAGACCGATGCCTGCACGGTAGTGGGGTCCCTCGGGGAAGGAGAGGTGGCTGGAAGTGGGGGGGTCGGGCCACATCACTGGACATCAAACAAGGGTCTAACGAGCATCTTGCTAACGAGTCCCCCTCGTGCCTGACCTGGGAGCAGGGATCGTGGGGTGAGTCCAAATGATGGAAAAGCCCGCCCCGGCCTCCGGTCCCTTCCAACGACTGACTCCCCCTTGCTTAAATTGACACTTTTAAGCCAACCTCCTCATGCGGTTGCCACGTCTCGAGGCACCGTGGGAACAGGGGAGGGTGTGCGGGGACTGGGGATAATTTGGGGCTCGGTGGTGGGGTGCAGGATCCTGAGAAAGAGCAGGGTGGGGGCAGCGTCGGTGCTGGGGTCGATCTTGCCCGCCTACCTGCCAGTCCTGGAGGGTGCGGAAACGATGCCGCCAGTGCCAGGTGCCACCCCGAGCTGCCACCACTGCTGCCCACGCTACGTGGGAGATAGCCAGAGACGAGGGATGCTACCAGTCACCAACGGTACCCGGTGGCCCTTGTTGCTAGGCAACCCAGCACTGGCAGTTTTCTCCTAGGCAATGCTAGTGCCAACTGCCGGGTGCCCCCTGCCCACCTGGGGAGTGGGGTAGGGGGGCATCAACAGCACCCCAGCAGCATGAGAAGAACAAGTGCAAGGCGGGGGGAAGGCCAGAGCCCCCAGGGATGCTGGGCTCAGGGGGCTTTGTCCTATTATGAGCATGTCTCCAATGAACAAAGGTTTGGTGCAGGAGGCCACTGGCCCTTCCTCTCCCCCCAGTCCAAGCAGAGCAGAGAGCAGCTGGTTCCCAGGTGCGCTCCAGTGACGGCTCCAGCCAGCCAGCCGGAGATGGGCCAGGGAGTGTTCAGGAATCACTCTGAGCCCAGCGCACGAAAGGGACCTCACTCGCTCCCCGACCTCCTTATGCGACCACCTGGACTCGCCCTCTCCCAGGAGACACCAGCATGACTGTAGTTAGGAGACGGCAAGTCCAGCCAGCCCCGGGACTTGCCCTGCTGGGGCTGTTGCTTAACTGAGACCTTCTCAGGCAAAACACCCCGTTACAGCCCAGCTGCTTGGCTTTGGGTGGACGACTTCAGGGCTCCTTCACCAGACACTGCTGCTGTTTGCAACCGTTGATTTCTATCCCAGATGCCCACCCTGCTTGTGATGCACCAGCTGCTCCCAGGACCCGGTTCGAAATCCCCACGTCCCCACGCCTAGCACCTCCCACGAGAGGCAGGCAGCTTCTCAGTGTTTTGCCACCCACAAGGCCTGAGCCCCGTTCCCGGGGGCTGCTCTGGTACTAAGCACGGCTCAGCACTTGGCCCTACGCCCCTTATTATCTGAAGACCGTCTTCCACCAACCCGACAGGTGGGGGAGAATGGATAGCGGCAGTCGCACATCACAGCCCGCGTGTCACCGTGAACGGCGTGAACCCGCCTCTCTGAAATGCAGTCCACATCCAGACAGCACGAGCTTCGTTCAGCCAAACTGCATTAAACCCGCACAATGAGCTGTTTAGTGGCAGTAACTTCCAGTGAAAGTGCTCTCCGGGAAGCGAGAAGAATAACCTGGAACGAGCCCACGGGGAGGGGGGTTCAAGGCAGCATAAACAAATCCATTCCTACATTGCTGCAGGGGGTAGTTTTTTCCTGTGCTACCATCACAGGCTCTTTAGCTGGATTTGGCCTGTGTCCTTGGTATACACAGCAAGCACTGATAGCTCCCTCAATGGCCCCCTTCGCTTGAAACCGCTATAAGCCATCACCAGCTCTTCTCTCCCAAACCTTGCGTGACTTCAAAGTATCCTATTTAATATGTTCTTTCTATGGATCAGTGTCCTGATGTATTAAAATAAAAAAAAACCCCATCCAGCACCAAGAACTCTCCCCCAAATCAATGCCAGGGGATGGGGACAGGCTGTCCCAGCGGCGCTGTGCGAATGGCTTCAATCACTTCTTGGAGGTTCTTGTCTCGAGCCATTGTGCGAATCTCCCCCATGCGCCCCGGGAGCTGCCGCACGGGGCCAGGTTTCAGCTCCATCCACCGCTCCTAATTTTTCCCTTTAATTCCCGTGAGCTCCCAGCACCAGGCATTGTTCCTGAATCACCCTGCACACAACACAGTTGCAACCGCCTCTGCTTAGCCCCAGCTGGGCTCCTGCAGTCCCTCCCCGCCAGCCCTCCTGTGCCCAAAAAGCCAAGCCATTTAAAGGTACCATTCCCAACGCCCTACAACTGTGGACCAAAGAAGGTGGGAGGTTTCACCTCCTTCCTTTCTCTTGCAGTTTGCTTACAAGCCAGGCCAGTCTCCTGCTCTCAGCTGCACCCTGTTTGGGCAGGAATCAGCTCCCTGACAACACGGAGGGACTCGTGTGCGATAAGCAGAGGAGTTTGGAGGTCCCTGGAACAGATGGGAAGCGACACGGGCCCACAGACAGCAGCAGATTTGGGTTTATTCTACTTACAAAGCAGCAGCAGGATCTTGGCGGGGGCTTGGATCAAAGCTGCCGTGGGCGTTTGCATGGGCTGCCTCTGCAGAGGAACCTCGTGGTACCTCCTTTGCACCAGGGGAGCAGAGCTTCACCCGCCCCCGCTCTTTGGGCTGAACGGGTAGCAGGTGTCATGAGTCGGGGCAGACTCAGCCCCCCTTGCCCCCAACCACACCTGGAACAAAAGCAGCCTCCCTCCCCTGCAGAGGGGAAGCGTGGAGAGCATTGCACAGAGGCCTATGACAGCTGAGCGGCTGCAGACCTGGGGCACTCTCTGCCTCGGCAGGCCCGGGTCGGGTGCCTTCAGAGCCACTATCACCGTAGCTGGCTGCCTTAGAGCTGCTGCAAGCCACGGCCCGTCAGGATCCCAGCACCAAGAGTGGCCAATATCGGATGCTTCTGAGGACAGTACCCAGCAGAAACAGCCTGGAGAGAGTGGGTCTAGTCTCTGCTCTGCCACTGATCCCCTGTGTGGCCTCAGCCAAGTCCCTTAGCCCCATCCATCCGGCGGGGAGAATCATTTGGGCTTTCCCTGCCCTCAAGCAAAAGTGCCTCTCACGAGCCAGGATGGGAAGTGGCACAGAGCTGTGTCAGGACAAGAGCTGCTCTTTGCAGCAGGGATGGGGACATCACGATGAGCAGTTTTTCCCCCTGGGGCTGGGGTGCAGAGGGGCTCACATGGTTCGTAGCAGTGGGAGAGACCTGTGGTGTGAATCCCAGGGCCCAGAAGGGTTGCTCCCCCTCCTCCGAGCTTGCGCCGGGAGCTGGACGGTGCAGCCTCTTTCAGAAAAGCAGACGTCCTGGCATGGCGGTGGCTAGAAGACCCGGGCGGTGGCTAGCAGAGGTGGTCGGCCTGGGTGAGCCTGCTCATCTCACCCTCGGCACGGAGCGTTCTCCGTGTCCTGCCCTCACCTGGCACAGAGCGTAGCTCTGGGTCACGCCAGCAACCGCTGCCTCCCCACCCCAGAAGTGGCTGCAGGACTGGGGTGGACAAGACAGACCACGGGGCACATTTGGGGGGTTCAGGGCCCTCCTCCCACCCCCTGCTCAGGGCACCTCCACCCGCTACTTGCCAGAAGAGACAAAGTGCATCTTGGTGTTGACGGTGGCGCTGCCCGCGCCGATGCCGCCCACCCGCTGCTTGAAGGCAAAGGGGAAGACCTTCCTGAAGGCCTTCCTGAAGTTGGCACCCATGAAGGCGTAGACGAGGGGGTTGACCGAGGAGTTGGCGTAGGACATGCAGTGGGCCCAGATCTTCACCTTGTAGGTGTAGTAGTTGCGCTGGAAGCCAGGCGCGAAGGCCTGCAGGAGGATGAGGAACTGCATGGGCCCCCAGCACACGGTGAAGAGCACCACGATGATGGCCACCATGCGGGAGATACGGGCGCGCAAGGCCTCCGACCGCTCCGCCAGCTGCTGCACCTGCAATCGGCCAGACCCCAGGCGTTGGCAGGATGGGAGGAGGGAGCCGGTCACAGGTGGGGAGGCGTGCAAAGGTGTGTGTGCATAAATGAGAGTGTGGGTAATAGGGTAGCAGGCAGTGGGGACTGGCCTGATGGGTGCTGGGCATGGAGGCAGGAGTCTCTCCTGATGGGGCTGGCTCAACCTTGCACAGTGGATCATCTGTGTATGTGGTCCCATGCCATCAGTGCTGAAGATGTATGCAGGATGCAATGTGGGCACCCGGGGTGTGTGGGCACGGGTCTTATGTACACGCATGCAGCATGGAGATGTGTGCGGGCATAGGTCTTGTGTACATGTATGTGATGCAGAGGCAGTGTGTGCACCAGAGATGTGTGGGCACGGTTCTTGTGCACATGCATGTAGCACGGAGGCACGTGTGTGCACCAGGGAGGCACAGGCATGGGTCCTGTAGCATGGAGGTGCGTGCATGCGCGCCCATGTTGTTGTGTCTTGATCGGGAAGAGCAATCTGGCTCCACGGCCAAGAAGCCGGAAGCACCATCAGCTCCAGCTCCAGCTGCCACTGCTAGAAGCACACTGCCGGTGGAGGGGATACGCGGGCCCGCGCAGGGGCAGGACGCTGGTACCTGGTAGCCGTTCTCGGCCGGCTCCACGGCAGGACGCCCCATCTGATAGAGCATGGCAATGTAGCAGACGCAGATGGTCAGCAGAGGCAGCAGGTAGACAGCCAGGAAGTTGTAGAGGATGAAGGCCTTCTCGTGAGCTGCCGAGGGGAAGGACTCGCTGCAGTAGGTCTGGGGCCCGAACCAGTAGCCCTCCGTCAGCTGGTGGTACGTCAGCACCGGGACGGAGACGACGAAGGAACCTGTGAGGGGCGGCAGGTGCCAGAGCCAGCGACCGGCACCGGGCTGGCTAGGAGAGGGGTAAGAGGCAGGGGCAAGGGTAGGAGGGGAGGGTTACCAGGATGGCAGCAGGAGCACGGATCAGGGCCAGGGGATGGGAACTGGGACCACAGCCGAGGACATGCAGACGTGCGCAAGGGACGGGTTCAAGGACTCCCGGCTGCAATGCGAGGCCGGCCCCAGGCCAGGGGGTGGGGGTCAGCTCACCGCTCCAGATGCCCAGGCTGACGGCGACGGCGACGCGGGGGGTGCGCTGGCGCAGGGAGCGCAGCGGGAACACGGTCACGTACCAGCGGTCCACGCTCATGGCCGTCAGCGTCATGCAGGTGGCCTGCACGGAGACCTGGGGGAGGAGGTGGGCATGGGGCATGGCCGGACTGTGTCCCCGCTGGGTTTGGACCAGCGCGGGGAGCAGGGGGGCCCTTGGGGAGCTGTAGCTATAGGGAGATGAAAGCCATCATCTCCCACAACCGTGACGTGGGGAAGATATTTCCCGTCCAGGCCTGGACCTTGAGCCCAGCCTGAATGGAGAGCAACAGGGAGCCTGCTCCCATCACCAGGTGTTTGGTGCAATGAGTTTGGTGGCTGTCAGTCCTCTTTCTATGGCTGCACTGCCCACTGCCAATGCAGATGGGGTGCAGCACCACCCCCAGTGAGGATCCAGTGGCACCCTCAGCGGAGAAGCCGACGGTCTCAACCTGCCTCTGTCCGGGGCTGGGGGAGCCCGGGGCAGCCCCCTCACCTGCTGGATGTAGTTAACGAACTTGCACATGAACTCCCCGAAAACCCAGCCGGGCAGCGGGTACAGCATGGCAGTGAAGGGCACACAGCAGACCAGGAAGATGATGTCGGTGGTGGCCAGGTTGGCTGTAAAGGAAGGCGGAGGTGGGGGGGTGAAGGTTAGCATGAGCTCCCAGGACGCGGGTTGAAGGCTGGAGAGCAGTGAACAGGCCCAGCCAGAGTGCCCGAGCCTCTCTGTGTGCATGCTTTTGGGCTTACTCACCCCGGGAGGGAAAAAAAGAAGAGCCAGGATGAGTCACTATTTAATAATGGAGCCTCGGAAGCCAGTCTGTGATGTTCTCCTCCTGCCACCCAAAATATACCCACTTGCCAGGTATCTCCCCCTCCTTTCTCTCCCCATCCCCATGGAGCCTCAGCATGGCTAAGGAGCAGCAACTGGGCTCCCAAGGCAGAAGGCATAGAGAGGGTGCTGAGTGCCCTGTGGGCATTGCTCAGCTCCTAACAGGATCAGATCCCGAGAGGAGAGAGCACCTGGCATAGGGCATGCGCGGCACAGAGAGTTTCTAGCAACTGCGTGAAGAGGCTGGGAGGCCGCGGGCTCCCACCCCAGGGCTGGAGCCAGGCACTTCCAAGGGCCAATCTTGGCTCTCACGTTCGACTCCCTGGGCAGGATCGGACCAGTCACCCTAGCCCTAACCCTAACCCTAACCCTAACCCTGTGCCTGTTTGCCCATCTGTACAAAGGGGATCGGCTCCACTTTCCTCCTCCGGCAGGATGGAGAAGAACCAGGTGGGTGCAGCCATTTGCGCTTCCTCAACCTGATGAAGGGCGCTTGTGCCCAAAAGCTTCCCAAGAAGACTTTTTCCAACTATTTGAGTTGGCCTAAGAAAAGATATCAGATGCACCCAAAGACCCTTGTCTGCTTGTGCTCTGTTAATGAGCTCGTTAGCACTGGAGCAGAGCAGAGAGGGAAGGCAAAGGGGACACAGAATCCACCCTCCCCAATGCCAGGCCCTGCCCTTTCCCCCCCCCCGCAGGGAATGGGAAGGGATTTCCCTGCCCTCTGCTTTCCTCCATGGGTTGCCTTATCCTCAGCTGAATCCATCTGGCTACCTACTTCCAAAAGTTCAATGTGACTTCCCCAGTTTCCCCCCTGGGACTAATCCCTAGTAAATGGCTGAGAATGGAGGGGGGGCTTGGCACCTGGACAAGCCGAGAGTGAATAATGAATCACTCTGTAATGTGCAGCTGCTGATCCGGTGTATACCTGCACGCTCAACAGGACCTAATTACTCAGGCCCTGACGAATGATGTGCCGCCTTCGCTGGGCCCCGTGCCAGGGAGCAGGTCGGGCATTGCAGTGACTCCAGACAGCAGAGTACGTGGCAGAGAGGGGCTCCTATTTTACACGGCCCCTGGGCATGACACCCCGTGGACCCAAAGCATTTAATCTGTGGAGCAAGTGCCTCTGGGGTAGAGCACGGCACATATTTGTTCTACATGGTATAGGAAGAAAACACACCAAGAAATCTGGTATCAATCCTTATGCTGCTCAACAGGGTAGCATCTCTGGGGCTCAGAGATGCTATGCACCTAAGTGGTTTGTGCACTTAACCAAGAGGCAGGTAACCAGGACTCGTTACAGCGGGAACACCAGGCTAGTATTTGGACTGAGTTTTAAACCCTGTATTCACAGACGGGACTAAGGGGCAAGGGGTTGAAGGACACGATGCCTTGTGGACAGGCGCGTGGGAGCGCCATTCTGCGGGTGCAAGCGTTGGAACGGGTGCGCGGGTTCTTATGATAGGTTAAGTAAGCAATGATCAGTGACTAGAAGGTGTCTATCTATCTATAGATATATGTATCTATATATCTATAGATATCTAGATATAGATAGATCTATCGACAGATAGATGTATCTATATATCTATCTATTGATCGATCTATCTATATCTAGATATCTAGATATAGATATATAGAGCTATCTATAGATAGATATATAGATACATCTATCTATCGATCGATCGATCAATAGATAGATAGATATTTTTAAAAAAAACAAAACCCATCAGGCTAGTATTTGGGCTACACTTTATAGCTGATAATAGCCAGGTCACTGTGTTATGCAATTAAGCACATCAGGCCTTTACCTGGTGTGCTGGCAAGAGGAGGATTTTTGTATTTTTAAAGCAATTATATATGGAAATGAGTAGCCACAAAAGCTGCTGCTCTTTAAATGATGGGGCGATGGCTCTACTCATGCCCTTCTGTTTCTGCTGCAGCTGCTGGTTAAACCCTGCGTGCCGAGCCGTGGCAGTAGTTGAGTAAATGTCAGCGGATCATATCGGATTTACCCAAAGAAACTTGTCAGTGGATCGTCCTTCCTTTCATCGGGGATGTGCCGGGTAGCTAGGGCAGCGCGGGAGGTGCGTGGAGTTACTATACGAGTGCACCATGGGTTGTTAAGTGTCTTTCTGGATTTCTGGACAGGTCTTTAGGGTGGCCGAAGATGAGCTCCACCCTGGGAAATCTAGCTCAAGTCTTCCGCTCCGGGAGCTGGGTTATTTGCTTCCTTCTCGCATCTCAGGGGTCTGGTGCCACTTGCAGTGAAACCAATAGCAACACGTGCATTATTTTTGCCGGAAGGGGCCTAAGATGATGGACAAGTGGAAAGCTTTATGCTTTTCACGTGACAGCCCTCTTCCCGAGAGGGGCCAGGGCCCTCGGGCCCCACGTGCTTGGCATCTCTGAACACATGTAGGGGCCGGATTGTCCCCTGCCTTGCATTTTGAGTGCCTCTGCTGGGGTACGTCAGCCTGATTTCCAGGAAAGGGGAAAGGGGAGTGAGTAGACTCTGAGTGCTCCGAGTTGCACCCATTTACCTGGAGGGTAACTGAGGACAAAGGTGCAGGGCAGAGAAGGATCAGGTCCCTATTCACTTGAATGGTATAGGATTGGGACCCTTCAACGCTCTCCATCACCTGGGTTACTGCACACAGAGACAGGAAATTCTTGCAATTCCTAAAATGAGCTGTTTGAAGCCTGGCCCTGTAATCTTTTTAAAAGCAGCTGCTGCTACGCTGGGGAGGGAGGAAGCAGCGGCAGCTAGCTGTAGACCTTTATTTTCTTCCATTAGGCCACAGATGAGGTTTCACAACAGAAACCGAATGCAGAGAGAGGAATAAAAATCACTTCACTGCAAGGCTGGAATTGGGCTAGGAAGAGCCCAGGCTGCCTCTGCCCGGCACGGCACTCAGCCCGGGGAGCTGTGCCCAGCTGCCCAGCACGGAAGTGCATGCACGAGCTGGGGCTGGCGGTGCTGTTGCTCGTGTGTCCTGCATGGTTGGTCCCTTGACCCGGAGTTCGGCTCAGCTGGGCAGAAATGTCAAAGGTAGGTGGCAGCCAGTGTGGCACGAGCCTCAGAGAGCCGCCGAGCAAGAGTTTGTCCAGAAGCCTCACGGTCCCCATTATCGGAGATATTGCAGCCCCCGTGCCCGCGATCACAGCCGGGCTGGTGGTAGGTAATAGCTAGGATCAAGGACTAATCCACCTGCACAGGCTCCAGGGAGCTTTCCCTAAGTGACACTGGCAGGATCAGGCTCAACAGCTTCAAAGCACCAGGGAGGGAGTTAATAGCAGTGATGGGTTTACACTGGAAGTGCCCAGGAGGCGCAGCCATGGGGCAGATGCCCGCTGCGCTGAGCTGAGGGGCCACCCTTGCCCCCGGGGGCAGGATGCGAGGGACAAGGAGGCAGTTTTTAGCGCTCCCCCAGCACGAAGCTTGTGTCAAACGCCCTGTGGGGACAGCAGCAGGGCTCAAACGTTTGCAATCAGCAGACTGGAGTCAGATCTGGGGTATCATCGCAGCCCCTCACCACCCTTCTCAAAGGTTTAACGGGAAAGAAGGGGCCTGGTGAAGCTGCTGGACCCCTCACCCTGGCTCTGTGTGCGTGTGTCTTTATGTGTCCCTTGGAGCAAGGCATGTGCATCACCGTATCTGCACGTATACGCGCCTTCCAGCACGGGTGCTGTGTCTGCGCACATGGCTGCAGCTCTTGTGTGTGACTGCGTGCATGGACGTGCGTGCCCCTTGGAGCACGAACTTGTGTGTGCGTGTGTGTTTGTGGTCTCCATCACCGAGCGAGCACAGCAGGGCTGTCTAAGAGGGGCACAGCAAAGCTTATCCGAGAGTACCAGGGCTGGGGTAAGCGGAGCAGGGGAGGGGTAAAAGGAGGTGGATGAGGATGAAATGAGGGGTCTTGCAGCCTCCCTAGTTGAGCCTGGTCCCAAGACAGCAGTACACCTGGGCTCCAGGGGCAAAGGACAGCTCAGCCCCCGCCCAAAGCCTTGCTCAAACGCCTGGGCACAAACCCAGCTCCGTGCATCACCTGCACACTTACCTGGCAAGCTGCACACAGTGCATCCCACCCCACATGGGACTCAGCCTGGCGTTCCCAACAGCTGGCAGCCCGCACCATCCCTGCCTGCCTGGCTCCTGAATGCCCAGGGCTCCCAATCCAGCTGAGAGGCACTTGCGTGGGGATACCCCCAGCCCAGTCCCGCTCTGGGATGCCCAGTGCCATTGCCCTAGGATGCTGCATGCCCCCTCCAGCGCCCAGCCCAGGCACAGCCCTATGCCCCTTCCAGCCTATGACAAGTGCCCAGCCTCAGGGGGGACCCGTGGCTCCCTCCAGCCTCAGGGCCCCCCCTGGCTGGGCATTCCCAGGGCCCCCCACCCTGCCCCAGCCCAGACTCACCGATGTAGAAGTTGGTGACCGTCCTCATCGGCTGGTGCCTGGAGATCACGTAGATGACCAGGGAGTTGCCCGCCAGCCCCAGCACCAGCAGTGCCACGAAGCAGAGGGGCACCAGCCAGGCATCCACCAGGCGCGGGGGGCCAGGGGGCCCCGAGCTGTTCCCCCACAGCAGCCCCCCAGCCCCGCATGACCCATTGGGGGGCAGCAGCGATGCGTTGTGCCCGGCGCTGCCTGCTGTGCCCATCCCTACTGCCCGCCTGGCTGGTGGGGTGGGGGGCAGCCGGACCCCTGGGTTTTCTCCCCACTAAGGGGGGGGTGGGTCCTTGTAGCCCCCAGCCCAGGCTCCTTGAAGACCCCAGGCGTCCCGGATCCAGCCACCCAGGGGCTGTCCCGGCTCCCGGAGTGTCTGTCCGCTCCTTGCTTCGGATCAACTGCAGGAGAGCCTGGGGCGTTGCGCTGCCGGAGGGAGGGGACCAAGGGGCTGGCACTGAGCGCTGCCCACCCCCGAGGATGGGCAGGTCCTGTGGGGACTGTGCCTGTGCCACCCCCCAGCTCTGCTGCAGACAGCTAGGTCTAAAGCCAAGCTCAGCCCTGTGCCAGCACAACCACCCCGCAGGGCAGGACTCCTGGGTCCTCCCTCCAGCCTGGGCTGGGGCAGGGCCAGGAGCCTCTTAGAAGGGAAATGAGGGTTGGGAGGGACCTCAGGAGGTGACATCCAGTGCAACCCCCCTGCTTTGCTGCACTAGAGGTCATCCCAGCCCCCTTGGCTGCTAAAAGTGGGGACCGTCCACTGGTCCCGCAGGCTGGAAAACGCCCCGCAGAGCTGCTCTGGCTTGCCCAGTGCCTCCTTGCAAGGTTTGACTTGGAACACAACATTTTTTTCCTTAAATACATAAGCAAATAAATCAAAATCAGAGGCCAGGAGTTGTGCTGGGGATATGCATCTTTTCCTTTGAAACCAGGACTTCCTAGGAGAACAGGTTGGAGCCTTTTGACTCACAGTGGCCCAGTGGGATGCCTGCTGAAATCACCGGGCACCCTCCAGGATCCGGCTCTGGGGCACGGATCTCCAGCACACGTGGTCCAGGATCTCATGTTTTGCATTTTGCCAACATCACCGGTGTAACGGATCCAGGGGCTGATTGCATCCGGCAGTGAAGAGCACGAAGGGACGGGTTGCAGGTCTGAGTGTGAAACCAGATGCTGGTATGGGTTAGAACAGCCTCGGGGCGGCTTTAATTCATGCTGGTGGTGTCTGGGTATAGATAACACCCCAGCATCAGCAGCCCCGCTACCAATAACACCTAAGCTGCCTGACCCCCAAAGGCGATGGCAGTGTGCCTATTTCCCTGCTGTTGAGCTCCCTTCCCTTCACACCATCCACGTACCCTGTAGCACCAATTTCTCCCTGGATTAAAAGCCCCCTTGCAAACACCCCCACATGTAAGATTTTCACCCTGTTTGGACAAATCCACGCTGCACTTACATTTCAGACTCTCCTTCCTGGAGCTTGATGCATTTAGAGAGCATCACACCGCTATCCGGAGCCAGGAAACCATTTTACCAGTGGGTTTTGTTTTTGCTCTAAAAAAGAGCGCTAAGTCCATTATGGACAATCTATTAATTAAGGAGAAAGAATAGGAGAGCAGATGGAAGAAGGGAAAAAAAACAAAGCCCTTGTAATTATTGGAACTAACTGGGAACATTGGGTCTCTCAAGGATAAATCATCTGGTTTTGTGCAGGTTTAATTAACACTCCATCCTGCCGCTTGTTTGCTCAGTTAGGTTTGCTGGCACGCATCTCATCCCAGTTTCGAGGTGGCATGGCTGCCTCTTGCCCCGGCAGGCCTGGCTTTCCAAATGCTTGGTTGGGTTTGTACTTGCTTCCTTGGAGGTTTACGGGAGAAAGGAAGAGACAGCGGGGAAGTACTGAAGGGAACGCACTTTTCTGATGCTTTCTATATGGCATGAGAGCTCTGGTGTCATGCCATATGGGTTGAATCAGAGCCTCTCAAGCTTGGATGGGCTCTCGTAGGCCACCTAACCTGCCTGCCTCGCACAGATGTGGCCTCCTGCTCCCAAACCATCCCAGAGATGCCCCTCCGGCCTCTGCCTGGAAACCTCCAAGAAGGGGGATCCCACAGCGTCTCTGGGCGGCTTGTCCCACCGTCCTGCCGCTCCGGCAGGGAGGACGTTTTCCCTGAGATCTCGTCTCCATTTGTGTTGTGGCACTTTAGACTCGTGTCCTGCTCTCTGCAGCAAGGGAGAACGGGCCTTCTTCTTTATAGCAGCCCTTTGAGCACCAGAAAGCAGCTCGGGCCCCTTTTCATCTCCTTTTCCAGGCCAACCATCCGGGGGTCGGACTTGATGATCTGATCAGGTCCCCTCCGACCCTAGAAACTATGAAACCATGCTTGGTTCTCTGCATCTTTCCTCATATGGCTGTATCCCAAGATGAGTTGTCCTCTTACCATGTTTATTGTCGAGATCCTCGCACCAGGACTGGCGCCTGAAGTTGCTGGAGGCTAAGTGACTTGCCCATGGCTACAAGGGAAGGCAGTAGCAGGGAAGGTATCACTATTCGGATCTCTGGAGTCCTGATCTAATGACCCTAGCGACTGGGTGATCACCACAGATGTGATCAAGACTTTTGCAACAAAAATATCATTATCTCTGGCGGAGGGGGGCCCGACACAAAGTTTGCCAGGAGCCTGGGTGCGGCACTGATTCCCACCCACGACACCCCTGTTCCCCCAGGAAACCCCTTTAACACATTTCTTGAATAGGGAAGTTTGTTCTTGATCAGGATGCCCTCAGATCCACCCACAGTTTGGTGCAGCGAGGTCACCGTGGGGCAGCCGTGACACGTCAGCGAGCAGGGGCAGGGTGCTCTCCCCTGTCCGGTTAGCTGCCCCCCCCGTGCGTCTCTCACCCTTGCTGGGACTCAGTGGGGCTAACCTGGGAGCGAGGCGGAAGGGAGCGGTGAATCCTACACTGGGAAGAGGCTGGAGATGGTCGCTGCAGACACCAGACCACTGAGCCAGGAAGCGTCGTCCCCGGTAACACCCATCACTTCATCTCGCGGCAAAACCTCACTTTTAGCTCCTTTTTCCCGTTTCCTTTGGACCAGACTGGGCCTGCCTGTGACGAACGCAAAAGGGAACAGAGTCCTACCACTCCGAGCGCAGGAAAAAAGAAGCCTTTCTTTCCTCCGAAGGCAATTTTCTCCGCAGACTGCTCTGCGACACCGTCCTTGGGCTTAAAAAAAGAAGCCGGTCTAGAGAGCTGCTCAAAAGAAAGGTAATTATCTTCTAAACCACTTGCAGATCTCTGCCGTAGCAAGTTTTGCCATGGGATCCACTTATAAGCTGGCTACAAAAAAATATCTTTATTAGACACCCAACAGTGGTGCTCGGGCTGGAAAAGCCAGGTTTGTTTGCAAGGGATGGCACGTGCCTTTCCCAACCGGCTCCGGGATCATTCCTTGCAGTTTATAGGATCCAAAAGGCATCCCCTTCCTCGTCTTTATTCACACCTGCATTTATAGCACTGAATAAATCCAGCTCACCCCACACCTGGCTGTGCCCAGGGTCCTCTCTGCCGTGCTCAGCCTACACCCTCGACCCTTTTTTCTTGGGCCGGATCCTACAGATCCCCTTTGGACCAGGGAGGGATCGAGGCCTCCTGTCTGCAGGTGGAGCTGACAGGATCCAGTGGGATGCAGACAACCAGCTCGCATCTGCTTGGCTTTGCTGGCATCCTTTATTTGACTCGGTGTGTCCCAAGCTGTTAAAAACCAACCCAATCTTTGGCTGCCAGAGGTCTGCGGGAGGCAGCTTAAGTGAAGGAGAGGAAGCAAAGGGGCTCAGGGCTTTAAATCTGAAATTCAGTTATCATTTCAATGGATAAACCAGGCCCCTTTGCTATCTCTGCAGCGAGGGAAAAGCCAGATAATGAAGCCCGGCTGGTATAATCTGCCTGAGCTCCATTGAAGTCAATGGAGTCGAGCTGCTTTGGGGCTTGGGCCCTGTATTTCTCATCGTGCCTCCCCCGAGAAGCTCGACCGCGGGCCTGGCTGCTGCTCTTCGAGGGGCCGGGATGGAGAACCAGTGTCCGGATGACTGCAGAGAGCTTCGGACAAGCCTGGGTCGTCCAAGGCGCCGCGAGCGAGAGGAGCGGAGGGCGCAGCGGGAGGCTGACTGCGCTTCCAAGCCAGCCCCGCGCATGCAGGCACAAATGTCACCGTCATTAGCAGCAGCCACCGCGGGCGCCGGCCCTGCTGGCAGGGGACTTGGAGAGACCAGGGCACGGGCACCAGGGGAGCAGCCTCGTGCCACAGCCCCATGTGGCCCCTGTGGGCTGCACGGGGCTGGCCTGGCCACGGCGGCTCTAGGGGAGCTGGGCAGCGCCCTCTTACCAGGGCACCCGCAGCCTCTGCCCCGGCCCAGCATCCCCACCCCGCCCCCACTG